TCACTTCAGCAGCCTGCAAAATTGTATCCTGACATATGTTTCTGTGAATTACATAAAGTGCAGTTTTGTTTCCAAATCCCTGTTATTATAATCAAAATGATGTTTAGGTTATTTTCTTAGCTTAAGTGAAGCCTTCCTTAGTTGCCACTTCAGTGATGAAGCCGAGCAAGTTTGGCTTTGGGAGTATGAGACCGATGAGGGTGCCCATGACCTCTACATGGACCAAGGAGAGGAGATCCGTTTCAGGGTGACAGATGAAGTCTTTGTGGATACGTCACCAACAGGCCCGGCCACTGCCGCCTCTGATACGGCGGCACAACCGGGACAGTCAACGGCGCCACCGAAAGAAGACGGCGGGGAGAAGAAAGAGGCACCATATACGCTGATTGTAAGAAAATACACTTTCTTATCGTCTTCAATAAACATCATAAAACTGTGTTTTACTTATGCAATTGGTTTTAAATCAAAAGTCAAGATGTGACTGAAATTGCAGACTTTCAGCTTTTAATTCAAAGTGTTTCACAAAAAAATTGTATTGGCTGTTTAAGAAATTTATACACAGCCAACATTTTCAATTGGAAAACTGGTTTTGTGGCCTCACATTTTGTTGCTTTTCACTGTAATTTGTATATGAGGCCAAAAGAGAAGTCAGCAGCAGTGAAAGAAGCAGTCTGAAGCTGAAAATCCCAAATAAAAACATGTCAGAGAAGCACAGCAGAAACCTCAGTAGGAGGCAAATCAACAAGCTGGTGAAGAACTGACCAGCGTAGCAACCTCAAAAGGCCTGAAAAGACCACAGAAGACAACTAAAGTGTGTGACTATGGAATTAAGAAAAACAACTTCACAACATCTAACCGAGTCGGAAACTTTTTTGAGGAGTGTGTACAAGCTAGAGACCCTTTCATTAATGGAAATACAGCGAGTTTATAGCAAAGTGCAAACTGCTGGTTACACTCAAGGATAAGAAGGTAAGATTAGATCTCACCTGAAAACATCTAAAAGAGCAACAAAGAGAAAACAAGACGAACTTGACTGACAGAGGAAAGTATGAAGGAGTGATAAGCCACATAATACCGCATTGCCTGTCAAACATGGAAGTGTTGCAGTGGAAATGTTATTGCATGAGCATATAGACATACCTGTGTAACTGGTTTACTGGTGTTTATTGATGACGTTACCCGTTTTTGAAGCAGCAGGATAAATTGTGAAGTGTAGAGCGCTGAACTCGCTGTTGAGATTCAGGCAAATGCCGCAAAACTGACCCGAATTAAACTGTAAATTTAACTCAAGAAACGGGAGGTTCTTCGGTGGCTGAGTCAGTCACCCGACACCCACAAATACAACACAAACAAGCAGCTACTGAATGATGTAGAGCATCTTAAAGGAGGAGACTTAGCATTTGGCGATGACCATGGGTCTTTCAAGACTTCAGTCACTGACTACAAAGTGTTTTCATCCAGTTATTAAAAACTATCTCTATTTTTAAATGACAATTAACCAGTTGTTATTGATCAGTTAATTCTGAGCCTTTGTACATGACGGACTTTGTATAAAAATGTCTGGAGTATCGGAATACATGTACCGGCGTTACGTATTGAAAATACAAAATATGAGTAACTGTATTTTGTTACAGTTACCATTTTAAAAGGTGGTATTCAGAATAAAGTTACTTTGTTGAAATCAACGGATTACACGTGGGTCTTTTCCTGTTTCATATGTTAGGCTGTGCGCTCTCTATTTTTGGTAATTCCACGCTGGTGGAAACCCCAAAAAAACATGCATTAAGAGGCTCTAATGCCTGTGCCCAGGTCACCTCTACATGCAGCCTGTACTATGACGTGAAGAAATATTTTTTACAATTATTTTTCAAAAAGTCTTTTAATATGAGGGCAACAGGCAGAGTGTTACAGGCATAGCCCTAAAGAATATAGCCTCATGGGCAGTGTAGTCCAGTCGTAAGTAAGCTATTAAGACTCGACTGTACACTGTGTTCCTGTTTTCCTCCAAAAACAATAAGTTCCGTTGGAGCAGCCTTTCAACGCCTCTCTCTGTCTCTCGCTAGCAAAGTTGACCCAGAC